GAATAAACCAGTTTTATTAAGTAAGGACTTGTGTCGCTAAAGTTTCGTCGGAACGTTGTTACGGAAAATTAATTAATAAACGGAGACGTAACAGTATATACGTCAGTAGAGCGTGCACGAATTTTTCCTTGTAGTTTTTGTCAATGTTCCAGTTTTCACATCATTTCTTCGTGAAGGAGCGTTGTTCATATTACACAGTAACTTGAAAAATATGTTTTAAGCAAGAGTTTTAGCAAAATTAAAATGGTGTTAGTTCACGTCAAGCAATAAACCTCTCACATCCTATAAACTTAACTAAAGCACTACCTTAACCAGTTTTTCTGATGTTTTAAGGTTCCACATCCATAATTAGGGCTGTCACCTTAAAGATTCAAATTTAGCTTTGATTTGTCCTGGAAAATGTTGTAATTATATACAAGTTTACATACTTTTTCTGTATTAGGAAATTTTAGAAAATACCTAAAAAGCGATTATTCTTATTTAGGATTCTATTCAGTATATTTTCTAATCTGTATCTATGAGTAGTATACAAAAAATCACAGTTAAATAGTTTAAAATTTAAAGTTGTTTCAAACTTAGCAATTATTAATCGAAAACATTCCAAATTTCTTACAGGAAACGAACTGAAGTCACAAAAAGCACGTTATCAGCATCTCAAAACGTTGAACCTACAACGTCGATCCCCAATAACGACCAAGCCTCAATTTGTACATGAATTTTTTCCTATTCTGGCTGAGTCCGTAAGAAAATCTGATGAACTTCTACCTTTGAACCAAGTAGTACAAGAGAAAAATAAAGATAAAAACAATTATTCGGAAACCAACCACGAGAATTCACAAGAACATGGGATTCACGTTGCTAGCTGGAGATGGGAATATGTAAAGACACCTTTTATTTATACCGCTTTTGTTATTATTGCTGGGCTTTGTAAAGTGGGTGAGTCCTGTTGAAGCATAAGTGTGTTATTTTTTAAAGTATGTTTTGTGGTTTGTATTCTCTATATCTATGACTGTGGTTTGGTTTTGTCTTTATGTTGTGTGTTTTAGTGCTTTTTAGTTTAAGATTCTCCCTTTTTATTTACGTTTTATTCATCTTTATTATATTCGCGTATTTATTTCTTTAACACGTTCGCTGCTACCAGTAGTATTAATAATAACTAAACCCTAGTGCCAACCACACACACTTCTTTTTTTACTTAACCCAGGTGTCTAGTACAGTAAAACCCCAATTTTACGCGAATTCAGATATAACGCGATGGGTCATTAACTCT